TAGAGAGAGAAAGCAGTAACTTCAAGAAATATTCTGCTGTCTTTGCAGTGCAGTGCCGTGCAGAGATACCCATGAGCTCTGAGCATCTGGTGTACCTGTGATCCAAAGCAGAGGCCCTAGCTCAAGGCTTCAGAGCAGCATGTTGTGTTATCAGCTTTTATGAGCTGATAAGCTGTGTGGCTTGGCATGGCTAGCAAGAAGAGAATGAGTTTGTACTGCTGCAACTGTTTGAGCTGGTGGGCACTGACCTCTGTTGTGCTCAGTTTCTAATGTTCTAATTGTAAAGGTTCTACTTATTGTTCCTGCTTCAGCAATGCCCTTGACTATGCAGAACTTGGCTCTGATTTAGCAGGATTAAAGCATCCTTAGGTATTGGTCTGGAGAGTATTGGTTTGCTTGTAGTTCTAGAGTTGCTGTGAGTCTCAGTGCTGTGAACCCAGTTAAACTCAATAATCAGGGGTAGGAATCCTGCAGAGTAGGTTCTTTTAGTGTCTTTGCTTTTGTGAGAATGCAGGTAAAACTCTTTTAATTCCCTGCATGTAAAACCAGCCTATAATTTCATAGAATCAGAATCATTAAGGTTGGAAAAGACCTCTAAGATCAAGTCCCACTGTCAATCCAACACTACCGTGACCACTAAACCATGTTCCGAAGTGCCACGTCTACATGGGTTTTTTAGCACCTCCAGGGATGGTGACTGAGCAGTAATGATTGGCAGTAATGTTTTGGCAGTAATGATTCTCACCAGGCATATTTTGTCACTTCATTTGGAAAATTAATGTAGCCATTGGGAAATGTTTCACTCTGAAATTTTATGCTCCCTGTATTTTGTCAGAAAAGGCCTTAACTGCGAGTAAGTAATAAATATTTCCCTTAATCCTGTAAGTAACGAGAAAGAGTGATTTAAATTGATTTTACAGTTTCTCCATACTTTCTGTAAACTATTGGAAAAACAGAGCCTTATAATGTTACCTGACCAGATTCGCAAGCTTATTTTAATAAGCAGCTAACTATCACTTGAACACTATTATTTAAGACAAATTTAAAGGAAAAGATGGGTTTTGCCTACAGATCAGCAAGTGGAAATTGAGGTTCACTGTAAAAGCTATCATATTCCAGTGCTGCAGGAAAGATTTGCCTTGGACATCTGATCAAAATGCTATTCTGTATTTTAGTCCCTGTGAGAAGTTACAGATTAATTATATAACTATGGATGCATTATTACTATGTGTAGATATATATTTAACCTATATAGATATATATTATGTAGATATATTTAATTCCAGGTGTATTGGAAACCAGTTACGTTCCTTCCACCCCCAAAGAAATAGGTATGAGGGTATGAAACTAACAAGAACAACTGTTTTACGTGCTCAGCTGCAGGACCTGAATAATGTATAAACTGGATGTCTGTTCGTGCACACAGATGAATGTCTGCATTGCTAAAGTGCAGATTTCTCTTTTCCTGGGTGATGTACATGATTACTGGAATTGAACATACACGGTGAACTATGAAAATGCAGTGTTATCTTAAAATTCTGGCTTTTAGGTGCCTAAATCTGGCACTCTTCTCCATAGTGAGGAAAAATAGATTTTAGGAGTTAGCTCTAACTATTTAGATGAACCAACTCATTCTTGTGTGTGTTTTCATGAATTGTTAGGTTAAGGGTGTTTAAGTAAATGTGTAGCTATATTGAACACACCAGATAGGATCCTACCTTGTTTCGTGATTCTTAAAGAATTACTCATGGGGTTAATGCAAGATATATCAGCAATCCCACTGAGCTGTTGTAGTCTGTTATGGTTCTGTACTTGGTGTATCTGTAACCAATGTCTGAAAGGTGTGTTTTTCCAGGCTGCCTAGTTGAAAGGACCGTGCAGGGAAGGCTGAGAGGAGGCTGTGCTTCTTGCACAGAGTAGAGAAGGTGGAAGAATATTTTGGGGTCAACAATACTAGCAATAGGAGCTTCTTTTGCTACCAGAATCATTGCCGATTTTTAAATATATATATAGGTGTGAATTTTGCTGCAAGTTCCTGTTCCCCTTGGAGACGGCAAAGCTAACAAGTTGTCTTATGAGTAGCAAAATGTTGATAGCCGAATTTCCTATGGTTTTGTGCCTTGTAGTTCGATGATTTCCCTGAATCAAGTAAATACTGTAGTTCTTCCTGAGGCTGGGCTGAACTCATCTTGGGTAAGGTGCTGTAGGAACCTCACAGAAGATGGGCTTTGCTGGAACAGTTGCTGTGGTACTCAGAAGTAAAAGCTTGGATGTTTTTTTTCTGTTCTTCTAAAACAGATTTTATGAATGACCCTTCTTCCCTATTTGATTTCTCTGACACCTCATATAAGGATGAACTCATCTCACAACCTCATATAAGAATGAACTCATCTCGCATTCTCTTTGTCTGTGAAATCACTTCAAATCTTCTCTACTGAGTGACTGTTTTCATTAAACTTGTTTTAAGAGACTTCTAACTCTGTTTGAAATCTAATATGGAATTCAGTGGTTATTAGAGGGGAAACAGGGACAGGCACATAAATTAAAAATAAACAAAATATGACAAAAAAACCCAAACCAAAAGCTAAGAAGAATAAGGTCTTGGGAACCTTGCCTGCTTACTTTGCTGTGAAATCATTTGAAATTATGGATGCTAAATTCTCTAGAATATAAGTCACGGAGATAGAATTTTATATTTACATTCTCAATAGATGGGAAGAGTTGAGATCTCTCCTGCCTCAGGAAGCCTTCCTAATGTGTTCTGTTTTTTATTCCTTCCTTTCCTAAGCTGAAGACTAAGACAGGCGAATTAGAGAAGTGGTCTGTGAGAGTAGCGCCAGACATTGGTGAAGAGACCTTTTCAGGTCAGATTCAAATGGGGAAAAGTTTGAGAAGTTAAGATGATATAGCACGAGAACTGAAGCATCCTACCTGATAGTCCTGGCCTAGGACTGATGTGGTCGGTCATAAGTGGTGAGAGGATATCAGTGAAGCCGTCTTCAATAGAGTAGAATGGCAGCAGAAGATGAAGTCCAGGACTGAGAACTACTGCATGTCTCTGGAAAGAACAAGGATCGTGAAGGAAAAAAAGAGACTGGGAACAGCATGAAAAGACTGAGATAGTAGGTTGCTCATGATAGGGCTCTTGTGTGGAAGTTTCAGAACTGAGACTGACTCAAAGAAGACTGTGACCCATAGTACAGCGGACAGATGTTCAGACTGGAACTGTGAGGTGCCTTTCTGGAGGGGCAGTGACCACTAGGGAGGATTCTAGTAGCATTTTGAGCAAAAAAATAGAAACGGAAGGATCAGACTAGAATTTAGAGGACTTAGACGAGAACCAAGAGATAAGAATTGAGGCTGGCGCTGGATGAGATTGCAGAGGACCATGCAGAAGACTGATGTGCATGTGCTGTTTTGGAATGGATTGTCATCTCAGTTCAGTTTTGAAATTTGAACTTGACAGTTGGGTCTTGTTAGTGTTACTCAGTTATCTTGGTGGTTTTGGCTCATGTTGTTTTCCATCTCACCATTGTCCAGCAGTTCTGGCCTCTTTAGCCAGCCAGTCCCAAAGCAACGTTGTCCCTTGAGCATTGAACTGCCCTCTTTTTAGCTCAAGTATCAGTTGGTCCAAGATTGCCTCATCTCACTTCTAACCTTCCTTTCTTAAGGGTTTTCAACCTGAACCCCATTACCCCTGAAATTCTTCCCAGCATTTCCAAGAACTGCTCTGTGCTGCTGCTCCTTCATCTGTGGGGAAAAAAAAAAGTCTGATTTCAAGACTGTGGGGACTAAGTTTAGCCTGATTCCCTTAGCAACACTATAAATCCTCAGACAAATACCGAACAACAATTGTGTTTAGAGATGGAAGGGTGTTAATAAAGGTGATTTGGGAGTATTCCTGCT